GTTTTGGAAGGGAATTTAACATTGGTTGATCTTCTGGAAAAATTGCTATGCTTGGTAATTGGTAAAATGGTACTTCATATATAACTTTGTTTTCTGGATCAGAAGTGTAATGATGTATTTTACATCTGACTTTTACTTCCTCCTGATTATTAATTTTCACAATAACACAAAATTCTTTATTTTCAATATTTAAATCAGGTCCAGATATAGTCTTCTTTGGAAGAGTTATAGCATCTTCAGGTACAATGTATCCTTCATTACGAAAAGCTACTCTTACATGCCATTTTTCTACAGTCCATGGATTTTCGATGGACATTGTTATTGGTAAATAACATTGAGATAATATATTTATTGTTCTTGTTACAAATTTAGAGCTATTTAGAGATAATTTCTTTTTCATTTCATCTTCAATTAAATACTTTTTGAGATTTTCAGGAGTTGCATATACAGCTAATTTTGGTAATATCAGAGTTTCATAAGCTCTTTGAGAAGTTACTGAAACCTTCTCACCTTTTTCACCAACGTTTTTTACATCCTCTAATAAAACTAAGTCAATCTTTTTTTGTTTCCTTCGATTTGTATTTTCTACATATTCATAAATGAAATGTTTATGTGTCATCCGTGGAAATCTTTGATGTTTTTTATAAAGAGGTACTGCATATTTTCTTTTTAAGATATATGTGTTCTAAAATGAGAAACAATAACATAATTCTTTGTTTTCAAAGTATTTAATTTTTTCGTATATTCTGCAATATAGATTATAAGACATATTACCCGGGTTTGTTGTACCAATACATTATTCTGATGAGAAAGAAGTATTGAGTGTGATTTTAAATAATTTAGACACAGTTGCGTGTACTTCAACATATTTGTTATCGTGAAATTATTTTTAGGTTAGGTTTAGGTTAGAATGCGCAATGGGACAATGCCTTATTAACTGACCACAGAGTGGATCTAGAGGTAGTTAGCAAAACATACACACACACACAAAAGTACATTACACACATAACCTATAATCAATAAAGTTAAACAAAATTTTCAATTTTTATAAGCATATTTATTATTCACAAAAATTATTTTAATTTTATTAATGAAATAGAATATTTATCCTATTTATAAACATTTGTATAAAAAAATAAATTTAATAAGTCATAAATAAAATTGATTTTATATTTTCAAATGGGATAATTTATAAACTAATTAATTTTGATATTTGAGAAGAAATAATTTTCAACGATGGATAAATTAAATTCACCATCGAAAAAGGTTTTACATCAAGCTATTATGGAAATTAAAGAGCCAGTAGTATTTCAACAAATGTTGCAAAATGAAAAAGGTGAATATTATTGGAAATTATTAGAATGGAATTTATCAGAACTTGCTGAAAGATTCGGCGATATTAAATTACCATTTCGAATTGGTTATAATGCTAGAACTATGGTAAATTACTACTGTTAGTCAATCTGTTTTTTGTATTTGTATTTACTATTGTGATTAAAAAATATTTTATATTTTGCAGAATCCACAATGGGAGGTGAATTGTTCAATAGTTTCAATGACACTATTAGACTTTATTCAAAATACGAACTCTCATGAAGATAATAAAGAATGGTATTATTTTGATTATAAGTATATGCAAGAGTGGTTCAAAGATAAACCAGAAATAATAAATTCAATAAATTGGGAAAGGTTTAATATCGATAAAACTGGTAATGATTCTACTCTTTGGATTGGAAACAAAGGAGCTCACACAAATTGTCATCAGGATTCTTATGGTTGTAATTTAGTTGCCCAAATTCATGGAAGGTTCGTTATATGTAAGAATGAAAACAAAAATTATATCATAGAAATAACATTATTTATTTTTTTAGGAAACAGTGGTTATTGTTTCCTCCAAGTTCAAGTAATTTTCTCCAGCCAACAAGAATTCCTTATGAAGAATCTACAATATATAGTAAATACAATTTTTTTTGTCCTACTAAAGAAGATGAAATTAATATATTAAAGATAGAAGACACAGCAAGATTAATAACTTTAGAACCAGGCGATGTATTATTTGTTCCTCCTGGTTGGTGGCATTATGTTGAATCACTAGAATTAACTATTAGTGTTAATATATGGCTACCAATAATAACAGATAATGTATCAAGAGTTAAGGAAGCCATTGTTAAATTAATAGTGGCCAGAATTGGAAAGGATGTCAGTAATGTACCTGATGAATCTGATTGTATAGACTTGGTAATGTATAATAAAAATCAGTAATTTAAATTATATTGATATTAATTATGAACATTTAAAATTAAAATTAATTTACTTATCAGCTAAATATTGCTGTTGGAGAATGCAAAACTGTAGCAGATGTAGACTTATCTGCTAAAAGAAAAAAACGTAATGTATGGACTGTTAAAGACTTAGCAACAGAGTATCCAGCTTACGTAAAGCTACTTCATGAACTTAGCAGAACAAAATTGGAAGAATTTATGAGAATGAAAAGGGAGAGATTTTCTGAAAACTATATTGATTTGTTAAAAGACAATTCTGAAACTGATAGTGATGCAAAGAATACTTATTCTTTTATTCAACATACGACTGAAAATATTGTTAATGCACTCTGCCATCCGGATGTTGTTAATAAAGTCACAGAATTACTTCTATTCTAATATATATTGTATAATTTTTAATATACATTTTAATAAATTGTTCATTATTCTTGGTATTTAATTTATTATTAATATTGAATGTATGTATATGACATATAATATTGAACATATTGTAATTTTATATTTAACATTGAATGTTATATTTGACATTGTTATTTTCAATAAAGGTTAAGGTTGTCAAGTTGAAGAGCTTTATATGTTCTGGATGCCTATTATGCGTATAAAATTGTGATCAGTGATATCCTTAATGTAATTAATAATGGGGTTATTAACAGTACTTAAGAAGCTGAAGCAAAAGGAAAAAGAAATGCGCATTTTAATGCTGTATGTATTTTTATTTTTACGTTTTAATATTTTTAGGTTATGTTAGGTTGTCATTTACATTGATATTGTACATTTTTTTAAAAAAAATATACATGTACGCTAAATAATTTAATATATATTTTTATAAAACTGTTTTGTGTATATTTTATATATTTACAGAGGTTTAGATAATGCTGGCAAAACAACAGTTTTAAAGAGAATTAACGGAGAACCAATTGATACAATATCACCAACTCTTGGTTTTAATATTAAAACTTTGGAACATCGTGGATATAAATTAAACGTATGGGACGTGGGTGGTCAAAAGTCATTGCGTTCTTACTGGAGAAACTATTTTGAATCTACAGATGGTCTTGTATGGGTAATTGATAGTGCAGATAGAAGAAGATTAGAGGATTGTAAGATAGAATTATATAAACTCTTACAAGAGGAAAGATTAGAAGGCGCAAGTCTATTAATACTTGCAAATAAACAAGATTTGCCTGGAGCATTATCTGCATCTGACATTGCAGAAATTTTAGAATTGCCCAGTATTAAGACTCATCACTGGCAAATATACAAATGTTCAGCAGTTACAGGAGAAAATCTCGTGGAAGGAATAAATTGGATTGTTGACGATATCTCAGCTAGAATATTTTACATAGATTAATATTAAGAAATTCATCAAACTTTACGATTTAATTGGTAATTTTTTATAATGTTTTGTATTGTAATGTTTATTTTCTATTTGTTAAAAAATATAGTTGTAATATAATTATACTTTATTTAAATTATTAAAGTTAGAATATTGTAATAAATCATAACATTTTCATAACTGTATTTTTTCTTTTGTTTCTGTCTTTCTCTTTTTTTTAATTTGGTCCATTAATATTTCTTTTTTTAACAGGTTTTTCCGGCGGAAGTTTTGTGTTTGGAAAATGCTTCATATAGGCAGATTTTAATAATCCCTGATCGATATCATGCCTTACACTAGCAAATGCACTTATTAATTCATTTATTAGAGATTGAGATAACTTCAATTGAAATTTTTTTATTAGTTTTATAAACATCTCTGTAATGTTAATTTCATTTATTATAACTGTAATATTATTTTTATTTTTGTACACACATACCTCTTGAAATAGGACTATCAGAAAGTGATAACACAAAGTGACCAAAGTTTCTGCGATGTCGTTTTTTCTTTGGTTTCATGGCTTCATAATTGGCCCTTCTTAAAAGTATTGCTTGTATATCGGGATCTTTCACTTTATAATTGCTAAGTATTCCTCCTAACTTAATATCGAGCCATGGTTTGCTATTTTCAATTGTTTCGAGTTCCGGTAATATTTTTTTATTTGCCCAAATATTCGTAAGATCCAAAATACGCAATGGACTTTCAGGCGATTTGTCAGGAGTAACTGCTTTAATAAGATTAAGTGCTCCTTCAGCTTTTATAGGGTTGTTACCTATATATAGTTCCTCGAGTTTTGTATTTTTTGATAATCCTCTCGCGATGATTTCTACATCTTCATCGTCAAATCGATTTCCTGAATGTGATTGAATATATAATATTAGACATTAAATTAGTTTCTAAATATCGATTGTTCATTATTCTGATTTAGTGAAGTTTCTAGTAAAGACTTAAGAAATCTTTGTATTAAATCTTTATGATCTCTACCATCCCTACCATACGATATTACCATTTAAATGTAATTTTTTTAAAGAACGCATTAACAATCGGCGAATATATGGAACACATTCTTTCCCTAAAGCATTCCACGATAAATCGAGGTCGACTAAGACTTCATTGTTTTCGAATCCTCTGATCAATTTCTTCCAAGTTTCTGCGGTGTACAAGGAATTCCATGACAATCCTAAACGCTTCACTGTTTTCGAACAGGAGAGCAATCTTTGTAAAGTTCCCGCGCAAGATTCATCGAGATTATTATCGTTGATTAAAAGAGTTTCGATGCTCTCGTTATCGCACATTGCATCAGTGATATGGTCTAAACCTTCGTTACGAATGTTACAATCAGAGAGATCTAACTTCTTCAATGTTACATTTTCCGAAATTCCATCATGAAGTTTCGCGGCACCTTTTGCACCAATTTTGCATCCTGATAACAACAACGTGTGTATTATGTTGTTGTTCTGAAGTAAATCGTTCAGATGATAACAAGCATCTTCTGATAGCCAATTGCCCTATGAAATAATATTGTGTCGGGCGAATATTTCAAATTTTTTTCCTTTTTTTTTTGTAATTTCAATGAAATTTCCTTAATACTTTTATTAGACTTAAGTAACATAGATGTTACTTTTATACGCGTTAACATTATACCAATATTTGTTAATTTTCATGGAAGGCTATTTATCTTACTGTAAGATTGACTAAATGTACAAAAGGATTTCTCATCAGAGCTTCACAAAGAGGTCTAATGGCACGTGGGTTGATTCCATAATACTGCAAGTTAATTTTCTCAGACAGTAACATATCCTCCAAGGCCTGTATAGGTCTGACGCGAGATGCCTTTGCTAAGTCGAAAAATTTCAGCACGCCGTCGTCTGGATAAGATTCGATTTTACGTTCGTGAATGGTCCAGAACGCGGGTACCAAACCAGGATCGTCAGGGATTGGAAACATCGTATATAGATTTTGTATTTTCAATTGGGAATCGCTGATATCTATATCTTTGAGACAAGGATGAATAGAACTTTCTACGGACGTTTCGACAGAAACGATCGATCCCTCTTCCGGAGTGATTAGCGTTTCCTCCGATGAATGTTTCTCTTCTTTTATCTAAAAATTTAATTTAATTTAATGTTTTCTATACGAAAACGATCTCTCTTTTTTTTATTGAATTTCGATTGGAATTACATCAATGATTTTTCGTAGCTTTTCTTTTTCTAGTTCGATTCTAGTTTTCCTCTCGGCCACGAACTCTGGAAAATCCACAAAAATGTCTACCTCTTCTGGTTCCCTCTCTTTGTCTTTCTCTTCTTCATCATCATCATCATCTTCTTCTTCTTTCACAATTTTCTCTTCCTCCTCATCGCCCAGAAATTCCCACTCGTTTCCATAATAGTTCAAGTAGGAATCCGGTATTTCAGTAATATTTTCCAAATCAAATATTCTCTGAAACGTAAGTCTCTCATAGTAAATAGAATTTGAAAATGATACGGAAGCGTATGGAATTACTTCAGACGCTTTGAAAGGCTCCATTTTCCTTTATCTTGGCCAACTTGAGCCTTTTAATTAATTTGTTCTTTCTTTTTTATTTGTTTTGTTAATATGTTGGTGGAAAAGACTAATTTCAAATTTTTATGACACGAAGTTATCACATATAGACAGTAAAAATGATCAAAAAAGGATTACTTTCAAATCACTATTGCAGGCAATTTGAAATTTGAATTCGTAGTTGTATCACATGAACGGTGCTTCGATTTATTGCGAAAAATTTCAAAATTTTTATACATACATTTTACTGGTCTAGGGCATATAGGAAAAAAACTGATAGTTTAATTCAAGTGAGAATACAACTACAAAAATTTGTAAATTAATCCTTTTAATTAGTTTGCAAATGAAAGTTTATTTAATTTATAGACTCTAAAGTGCTAGCGTCACGTAGCGGTAAAATAACGGAACTAAAAATCTCTTACTGTCCTTGTCGTACTTTACTGTGTGGCAGACAAAGAGCGCACAACTATGCAACAAGGACAGTAATAGATTTTAATCTTTTCACCGCTACGCGGCGCTAGCATTTCAGGGTTTGTAGTGACGTCTATTCCAGCGACATCTGTTTCTCAACCGTCTCGTCGAGGAGTTCATTTTAAATAAATTTACGGCGCCAACTTTGTTAAACTTTAAAATAAGAAATTATGTAAAAATCAATATTTTAACAAAATTATTATGAAGACATTTTGTAAATAATTGTCAAGGATACTTAACAAATTAATGAAGGTATAAATAAGAGTTATAAAATAGATAATCCAGACAGAACATTGAACATTGAATATTGTACATCGTACATTCTAAAGTCTAAAGTTATTATTAATTAAA